TCCACGCAGTGACATTGATAGACTTTATCTACCAAGGCAAATAGGTGGGCGTGGAATGCTACAAGTACATCAGATGGTTGAAGAAGAAAAAATGGCTTTGGAAGAATATCTGAAGAACAATGATGAAGATGCACTGAAATTAGTATATCAGGAAGGCTTACTAACTACTGGAGAGACCAAACTGGCCTACAAGAAAGACCAAATGAAGAACAGAATAGAGGCATGGGAAGACAAAGCACTACATGGCCAATACATGAAAAAAATAGCTGGGAAAGCAGATAATAATAAAACCTGGCAATGGCTAAGAGCAGGAAAATTGAAGAAAGAGACCGAGGGACTAATTCTGGCTGCACAAGACCAAGCCTTAAGGACAAACGCATACAAAGTCAAAATTGAGAAGACAGCAACAGACAGTAAGTGCCGCCTATGCAAAGAAGCTGAAGAAACAGTGGACCACTTGGTAAGCTGTTGCAAGAAGATTGCACAGACTGATTACAAGCAGCGGCATGACAAAGTAGCAACAATGGTGCATTGGAAGATCTGCAAAAAATATCATTTGCCTGTAAGCAAAAACTGGTGGGATCATAAAATAGAGAAAGTCATAGAAAATGATAAAATTAAACTGCTCTGGGACTTCAGAATTCAAACAGACAAGCACCTGCAACATAACACCCCAGACTTAACAATTGTCGATAAGAAAGACAAAAAAGTCTGGATAGTGGACGTGGCAGTGCCTGGAGACAGCAGAATAGAAGAGAAAGAACTGGAGAAGATAACAAAATACAAAGACCTACAAATAGAAATAGAAAGACTGTGGCAAAAGCAAGCAAGGGTAGTACCAATAGTAATAGGCTCCTTGGGTGCAATCCCAAAACAACTGGAGCACCACTTGAACACCATTGGCATTGACAAATTCGCTATTAGTCAATTGCAAAAGGCGGCCTTATTAGGAACTGCTTCCATCCTGCGACGATACCTGTAATACCATCAAACATCCACATCTGCCTATCCCAGGTCCTGGGTAAGGACTCGATAGGTAGACAAAATGCCAAATCCAGTCTGAACATCTGGCTGACTGTGCGATGATCCAATAATAATAATAATAATAAAGACAAAAAAGTCTGGATAGTGGATGTGGCAGTGCCTGGAGATAGCAGAATAGAAGAGAAAGAACTGGAGAAGATAACAAAATACAAAGACCTACAAATAGAAATAGAAAGACTGTGGCAAAAGCAAGCAAGGGTAGTACCAATAGTAATAGGCTCCTTGGGTGCAATCCCAAAACAACTGGAGCACCACTTGAACACCATTGGCATTGACAAATTCGCTATTAGTCAATTGCAAAAGGCGGCCTTACTAGGAACTGCTTCCATCCTGCGACGATACCTGTAATACCATCAAACATCCACATCTGCCTATCCCAGGTCCTGGGTAAGGACTCGATAGGTACACAAAATGCCAAATCCAGTCTGAACATCTGGCTGACTGTGCGATGATCGATAATAATAATAATAATAATAATAATAATAATAATAATAATAATAATAATGCTGCAATCAACACCTGGGCAATTCCAGCCATTATGTACACAGCTGGAATAGTGGACTGGACTCAAGCAGAACTAAAAGCAATGGATAGGAAGACCAGAAAAACAATGACAATCATGCCCTTCATCCACGCAGTGACATTGACAGACTTTATCTACCAAGGCAAATAGGTGGGCGTGGAATGCTACAAGTACATCAGATGGTTGAAGAAGAAAAAATGGCTTTGGAAGAATATCTGAAGAACAATGATGAAGATGCACTGAAATTAGTATATCAGGAAGGCTTACTGACTACTGGAGAGACCAAACTGGCCTACAAGAAAGACCAAATGAAGAACAGAATAGAGGCATGGGAAGACAAAGCACTACATGGCCAATACATGAAAAAAATAGCTGGGAAAGCAGATAATAATAAAACCTGGCAATGGCTAAGAGCAGGAAAATTGAAGAAAGAGACCGAGGGACTAATTCTGGCTGCACAAGACCAAGCCTTAAGGACAAATGCATACAAAGTCAAAATTGAGAAGACAGCAACAGACAGTAAGTGCCGCCTATGCAAAGAAGCTGAAGAAACAGTGGACCACTTGGTAAGCTGTTGCAAGAAGATTGCACAGACTGATTACAAGCAGCGGCATGACAAAGTAGCAACAATGGTGCGTTGGAAGATCTGCAAAAAATATCATTTGCCTGTAAGCAAAAACTGGTGGTATCATAAAATAGAGAAAGTCATAGAAAATGATAAAATTAAACTGCTCTGGGACTTCAGACTTCAAACAGACAAGCACCTGCAACATAACACCCCAGACTTAACAAAAAAAGTCTGGATAGTAGATGTGGCAGTGCCTGGAGACAGCAGAATAGACGAGAAAAAACTGGAGAAGATAACAAAATACAAAGACCTACAAATAGAAATAGAAAGATTGTGGCAAAAGCAAGCAAGGGTAGTACCAATAGTAATAGGCTCCTTGGGTGCAATCCTAAAACAACTGGAGCACCACTTGGACACCATTGGCATTGACAAATTCGCTATTAGTCAATTGCAAAAGGTGGCCTTACTAGGAACTTCTTCCATCCTGCGACGATATCTGTAATACCATCAAACATCCACATCTGCCTATCCCAGGTTCTGGGTAAGGACTCGATAGGTAGACAAAATGCCAAATCCAATCTGAACATCTGGCTGACTGTGCAATGATCCCTAATAATAATATTAATAAAGTTGGAAGGGACCTTGGAGGTCATCTAGTCCATCCCCCTGCTCAGGCAGGAAACCCTATACCATTTCGGACAAATGGCTGTCCAGTCTCTCCTTAAAAACTTCCAGTGTTGGAGCATTCACAGCTTCTGAAGACAGGTTGTCCCACTGGTTAATTGTCCTCACTGTTAGGAAGTTTCTCCTTAGTTCTAGATTGCTTCTCTCCTTGATTAGTTTCCATCCGTTGCTTCTTGTCCTGCATTCAGGCGCATTGGAAAATAGCTTGACTCCCTCTTCTTTGTGGCAGACCCTGAGATATTGGAACACTGCTGTCATGTCCCACCACGTCCTTCTCTTCATTAAACTAGACATACCCAATTCCAGCAGCCATTTCTTATATGCTTTGGCCTCCAGTCCCCTAATCGTCTTTGTTGCTCTTCTCTGTACTCTTTCTAGAGTCTCAACATCTTTTTTACATCGCAGTGACCAAAATTGGATGCAATATTCTAAGTGTAGCCTTACCAAGGCATTGTAAAGTAGTATTAACACTTCACATGATCTTAATTCTGTCCCTCTGTTAATACAGCCTAGCACTGTGTTGGCCTTTTTGGCAGCTGCAGCACACTGCTGGCTCATATTTAAAATACAACCCTGGAATTAAGTTTGAATAGTGTCCAACATTTTGTTCAAAAATCCAAATGATAAATTGTTTGGGAACAATAATCACAGTTCTATTACCAATATGCATACCTGTGGATGCTTCTAAGAAAGTGGACCATGGTGACATTTGATTTCAGAAGAACAAAAAAAGGAAGAAATTTGTAAAAAGAAAGTTGAAAGAGAGAATAAAGGTCAGGGTTCCCCCCCCCCACACACACAATGCTTGAAGATCATTGAAAGCCATTATATTCTCCACTATCATGTGTATCTGAGATCAGAAAAAATGCCACAAAGTCCAGGAAGAGACTGGAATTAAAGATGAATTGAGAATCAGAGCTGAACAGAAACTGAGATGCCATTAAAGACAAGAAGGCTTCCTTTGAGAAGAGAGGGAAGATTTTTCCTTAAATTAAGGGGACAAGATAAATGTAGAATTTGCCAGAAAATATATAAGCGTCTCTAAAGAATTACCATAAGTAATATTTGAGGAGCATGTGACAAAAGACATTAAGGATCATTAATTATATGCTAAAGGAGGATAAGGAATTAGAAAAGAAATTGGATAAATTTTTGCTGTTGACCTTGGTGGAAGTTGGGAGGAATGTAGGAGAGTTGCCTGTCCCTGAGCTAGGAGGGAAAAACTGAATAGATAAATTAAAATAGGCAGTGAGCTATGGCATTATAAGCCAGATTGCCTAACTATATATAAATAATTCCTCAAGTCCTGTTGGTTTCCACTAAAGAGCTTGAGGTCTATTCCTGAGGATTAGAAAGCAGCCAGTATAAATCCTGATTTTTTTTTAAAAAAAAGAACTGAGGGATGATACAAGAAACTGTGGGCTAGTTTGGATTAATATTGGGGGGGGGGGAATGAAAATTAAATTTTTTAGGATGCACCAACAAGCATTTAGACAACTTTGACATAGCAAATGCAAAATATTTTGATTTTTTAAAAGATTCTAACAAAATATTCTTACCAGAGATTCCTTAGCAATTGCCTGGGATAAAAAGGCAGATATCCCCATGCAATTGACAGCTGACAATGATTGATCAAGAAAGAAGTTTTGAGTCACAAGGGACAGTTCATTAAAGTTTCAAAATAGTATGTAGCTGTTATTAATAGACTAAATTTACAAATCTGTGATGGGGCTGTGTACAGTTCTAATCGCTTCATATTAGGAATACTACTGTCTTAAACACTGGTTGCATTGAAGCAACAATAGAAGAGAGTTAATACACTCCATTCTTACAAGCTTTCTAGAGTCATTCACTAAGCCACTATGGACTAAAGAATGCTGGATTTACACATGATCCAGCAATGTTTTTATGTTAAGCATTTTGGCTTGAAAAGTAGAGAATAAATGCTGTGATGCCATCATAAACTTATCTCAGTAAGTTTACATGTTATGCGAATCCATGGTTCATTTCTGGTTTATTGAATAACCTTAATCAGATGAATTTAGGCTGCACACTAAGTTTTAAGTCACATATTACAAGTTAAAATGGTTGAGTTCACATAACCGTTGAGACCAGAACTGAACAACCCACATTAAAGTGTGTAATTGTCATTTAATTTATGCCTTTGTATCTTCTTTGTAGTACAGATGTTGCTGAAATACAGCTACCCTCATTCCTCATCATTAGCCATGCTGGCTGGGCTTCTGGAAGTTCAGCAATAATTTGAAAAACACAGGTTATTCATCCTTGTACCTTCTCTCTATATGGTTGTAGAAATTAAATCACACTGAATGGGTAGGAGATACTGACTCCCAAGGTCATTATAAACACCTGGAGATAGCAAGCTTAGATACTAATAATTCCTGTCCTTGAATAGGCGGGGAGAGTGGCACCGAAATAAGGAAAAGGGGGTGGTACTCTTTTACTGACCTCTGAAATGATAGGCTAGTGAAGGCATAAATGAGGGAAAGCGAATCTGCTACTTACGTGGGATTTAGATGCAAGACAGCCACAGATGAAATATCAGAATTAGAAGACAAAGTTGTTGGAAAACTGGCACTTGGTTAAGGTTTGTATAGTTCTATTTTCTATTAGTGTAGAGAATTAATGGAAATTGACTTTACAAATGTTGACTATTTGTGTGGCCTGCTTTTTTGAAAAAGAAACCTTTAAGGAGAGGTAAATGTCATACAACTGTATGTCTATTATTTAAAGTGCTTAGGGTATTTTTTACTATTTAGAAAAGATGAGTTTTATGTGAGTCATTCAAAATAGAAAGTGTTACAATTATATTGGAAAAGGTAACTTTCTTCCTCCCCCCCCCCTTCCAAGTTTGGAGGGGCCACAAATATTTAAGCTTGCTTTCCAAAAAGCAATATTTATTTCTCTTTGCTTTCCTCCCCCATTTCCCAGCACAGTTCTGTGGTAACATCTGTTTTTCTTAGCTTAACTCTCACACTTCTGATGTTAGTGGCAGTATTCTTGATTTTTTTTTTAATTTTAGAGTTTGACAGGGCTGGTAGATATGCATATCTTACCAGATGCTGTACAAGGGAGTGAACTTTTTTTTTTGTCTGTGCAGACTTTTCGTAAGTATGCGAATGGAGGAGCTGGGCTCACATCTAAAATGAATGAATCCAGCACACTTTTTTTCATTCACCTTCTAACTGGAACAAATATCAGGTACTCTTAAGCTAGTAGCCCTGTGGTCACTTTCTACTGTATAATATGTTTTTTTTTTCCATAGAGCCAAGTCATAAGAAATGTATGTTGCAAGGTTAGAAAATGTTGAAGAATGATTGCAGGATAATCTTTTCTTTTATTATTTGCAGTGCTGTATTAATTTTTCCTCTCAGAAAAAATGTATTTTTATTTAGTCCATTTAGCTACCTGATTGCTTACTCCCTATCTGTCAATGGCATTCAACATTTTCCCTTTGTCTACTTCTTTTCTGTACTATGCAATGAGTTCTCACAAATATGATTGATGGTACACATGGGTATACTATAGATGCAGTAGGAACTGGCAGTGCTTCTGAATTAGCCTATTAAAATCAGTCTTAAACCAAAGAGGACTCATTTCACATTGGTTCAGTTTTCACAGCTATAAAATGTGCTGCCACTTCAGGTGGATGGAAAGAGCCTCCCACACTGAAATGTGCTTCCATTCCTTTTTTTTTTAAATCATCTGAGGAGCTTCTCAAAATTTCCTGCTGAACTTAGGCAATGGGTTACTCTTTACTTAAGTGTGAATTTCCACTTTTAAAAAAATGTAATAACTGTATAGGTGTATGGCCTCTAGTTGGTTTAATGCTACTATTGTAATAACTGTGGAACTGTTTTGTGTACTAGAACAAAAAAGACAGATGTTACATGACAAAGAAAGTAAATCTTAAATTGTTACCATTACTGTATTATTCAATATTGACATAACCCATTCTAAATGGAATGAAATAATTTGGTTTAGTAAATCAGAGCTGAGAGCCATTTGAGGCCAAGAACCTTACATGGAAATGATATGGTAGTGTCATCTGGGAGGATAGTAGATATTCAATTGTTTTTCAAACACAGTATTCCAAATGTGTTCTCACCAGAGCAGTGTAAAGTGGTACTATCACTTCACATGATTGTGAAACTTTCTCTCTGTTGATGCAGCCTAGGACTGCATTGGCTTTTTTGGCAACAACAGCAGTGAGGTTATTGGCCTCAAATGTCACTCAGTTCTGATTTATGAACTAAGTTGTTTCATTTTGTTTAGCTATGGGTTATGTCAATATTGAATAATATGGTAATAGTATCTCCGCCTATTTGAAGGACCATTCACAAGAAAGATATATTATGGTTTGGAGAAGATGGATTGATTATATTCAGAAGAAATATGAAATTGAAAAGTATTATCTTGCTTTTGAGTACCGTATATGCCGGCGTATAAGGCGATTTCTGCGAGCACTAAAATCGGCACCAAAGACGGGGGTTGTCTTATACGTCGAGTCGTCTTATATGCCGGAAATACGGGTAGTTTCCGGCGTATAAGACGACGTTCTAGGAATGCGGCCCGGCGATAAAGACGGGGGTCGTCTTATACGCTGGGTCGCCTTGTACACCGGCATATACGGTAGGTTTTAGATAATTATTAGTAGCTTTAATTATATTATTATTTTTGACTTAATTTGTTAATATTTGTATTGATAAGGAGTTAAAGTGTCTTATGGTTTTGATTGATAGTATAGTTGGTTTATGTTGGTTGGATTATATTTGTTTATTCTTTTGTTTTACCCTGTAATCAGCTCTGGGAAGTGGGGGGGAGGGGTGGGGGGGTTTATATTGTAATACATTTATAAAACTTTTAATAAAATAATAATAATATGGTAATGGTAAAAGTTTTAGGTTTTGTCATGCAGCATTAGGGTTTTTTTTGCTTTGGACTCAAGAAAGTTCAGCAAGTAGTTATTTTTGAATGCTTCTGATTGTGATAGGGTGTAGGCCAGTATTTCAGTGATCGCTGCAGTACTTACGTGATTATATCCCATATGCTCAAGTCAACTTAATTTTGTTTTCAATATATATTAAACATTATTAGACCACTATTCATGTCAAAGTGTTTATGATGATTGGTTGGTCATTGGAAATACCAATGTTCAGGAATATAATAAAAGTTATTAGATGATTCATATATAGGAAGGGTAACTTTCTACCTAATATTTATGTGTTCCTGAACTCATTTTATTCATTTTTTTTCTTCAAATTATTTTCTTCTTTAAAAAAGAGGTTGCGACCCTAGAAAGAGTACAGAGATGAGTAACAAAAATGATAAGGGATCTGGAGCCTAAACTGTAGATGAACAATTGAGGGAACTAGGTATATTTAGTCTAATGAAGAAAAAAACTAGGTATGATATGATAGCAGTCTTCCAATATTTGAGAGCCTGTTACAGGGATGAGGGAGCTAATCTGTTCCCCAAAGCACCTGAGGGCAAGACAAGAAGTAACAGGTGGAAGATCATTAAAGAGTGAACCAACTTAGAACTAAAGAGAACTTTTCTGACAATGAGAACAATTAATCAATAGAATTGCTTATCTCTGGAAATTGTGGGTGCTTCATCACTTGAGATTTCCAAAAAGAAACTGGACAGCCACTTGTCTAGAATGGTGTAGGGTCTCCTGCTAGAGTAGGGGGTTGGACTAGGAGACCTCCTAGTCTCAATATATTATTCTGTGTTCTATATTCAATTCATGAATTACATTGTGCAATCTTGGTGAATCTCTTATCACCTCATTTCTAAAGCCAACTGACACTAACCTCTAATGTGTCAGAGTAAATACTATGAAGTCCATCATTTTCAAGTGAGAGTGACTCTTTAAATAGTTTCTATCTCAATTTGTCAATTAGCAGTTGACTTCCTGGCTCTCAGTTCTAATGGTATTATTAGGACAAAAACTCTGTTCTTTTTTTAAATGAGGATGGTAAATATGGCATAGAAGTAAGTTAGAGGAAAATCTTAGGGACCTGGAAATTGGAAAATGTTCCAAGCCTGGGGAACAGCCAACCAGATTTGATGATATTTCATTAAGTGTAACAATCTGGCAGGGCATATATAGAATGAAATGTACATTTCGTACAAAAACACAGCAAGAAGGAGGTGGTTAGGAATTGCACAACCGAAACACCATAAACTAACTTTGGTATCTTGCTGTGCAAACAGAAATAAACAGAAATTGCTACCTATTTAAACTCTTTTCTCTCCCCGTCCCACTTCCTGTGCAATCAGGGTGAAGATTACATAGCATATTTCTTTAATCCGTGAAATCCTATCTGATCTCCAAGCTGGCGATGTCAAGGGTACCGAGTCCTCCTCCTCCGGCAGAGATGTCAAGTGGACCTGTTGCTGAGAGCTGGTGTTACACTCAAGTATGCCTGCACTTTGGAATATCAGCTAATGACTGTATATCAGCTGGCATTTATTTTCCTCTCTTTGAATTGGATTCAAGCAAGTGTTTTGCAGAGTGACAGAATGTCAAAATAACTGAACTTGTTGAATTGTAATATTTGTACATAATTGTAATGTGTACAGTAATTATAATGGGAAAGTGTGGAATTCCCAAATTCATATATTGTTCCTGCCAGACTTCTCAGGGATAGATGGTAACTATGTGGTCATCTAGAAGCTATGCTAGGTTTTGGTGATGGTTCTAATCCAAAGAATCTCTGGCATATATAATAGCATGAAGATTGCTGGAAATTCACAGAAAGCAGACTTGTAGAGCATGAAGCCATTTTTTTGTTGTTGTTGCTTTTCCAACAATAGTAGATTTAGAATAGCTAAGGCATCCACCCAACAAAATCAAAGGGGGATCAGATTAATACATTTGTGCCCATCTTTGTTTTGGATAGCGAATTTTGAGGGCCTCATAACTGGAACATTACACAAATATACTTTATACTGAAACAGGAAAGGTCTAATCTTACAGGTTTGCTTTTTATATTTCCTCTTAACTTTGACATTTATTATATTAACTGTGCCTAGAATTAAAAATACATACAGGTAGTCCTCAATTTATAACAGTTCATTTAGTGATGATTTGAAGTTATAACAGTACTGAAAAAATTGCCTTATGACTGTTTTTCACACTTACGACTATTGCAGCATTGCCATGGTCACATTATCAAAATTCAGACATTTGATAACTGATTCATATTTATGATGGTTCCAGTAAGCCAGAGGCACGTGGTCGCCTTTTTCGATCTTCTGATAAACAAAGTCAGATAAGCTGATAAGCAAAGCGAGATTCATTTAACAACTTTGTTACTAATTTAACAACTGCAGTGATTCATTTAATATCTGTGGCAAGAAAGGTCATTCATTCATTCACATTTATTGCAATCAAAGACCAGAGACGGTAATAAACCTGAATGGCAAGAAAGGTCGTAAAATGGGACAAAGTCACTTAACAATGGTCTCGCTTAATTTTGGGCTGAATTGTGGTCATACGTTCAGGACTGCCTGTACCAATTATGTTAGCAATTGTTATGCTGCAATTCTTTGTGCATGTATTACTAATCATTGTAATCAGAAATGCTCTTAATACAAGATTAACACCAAGTTAAACAAAAGACTCTGGAGGGACAAGCAAAGCGGAAGCTTTTCCTAAACAGCCACGCTTCCATTCTGGAATCAAGATACATGAAGCTATCAAATTCTGCTCCTTATGAATGCAAGTACAAGTCCTTGCTTACCGACAGTAATAGGGACTGGGAATTCTGTTAAAGTGATGTGATCATAAAATGTATCAACATCTGACCGTGTCGACTATGATGGCAATCCCAATTCCTGTCATTAGGTAAAAGCCACATGGCATCAGTGCCCCATAATGATGGGACAAACTAGTCCTTGTTGGAAGCCAGTGGTGAAGATTGCAATTGATGATCATGTGACCCCGTGACTGTCAATAATTGTCTGTAACATAATTGTCTGGTAACCAGACTGTCAAGCTGGTTACCAGGGACTTGAATTGCAGAATTGACCAAGGGGGCTCTGTGATGGCTGCAGCTATAAGGAGTGTCATAAATTTGAACAGTCACTAAATCAGAGGTCATTAAAAAGGGCTCCTGAAAAAGAATTCAGTAGCAACAAATCTTTTCTCAAAGCTGACATATTCCTGCCTTTTCCACCTAAATTAGTATGGGCCAAATATATTAACTTAATAACCCTGTAAATGAATTATAAGTCAAATAATTTTGCTCCAGCCTTTGATAAACAATGGATTACAGTTTCTTGGATAGGTATCTATGATATTTCAAGAGGATGGAGTTTTAAATGTATTTTTCCTTCATTCTTAAATATCAGGGGATTCTTTTTGGTGAACTTGTTCTTTGTAACAATGAATGTAAATTGCTAGCCAATATTTCTCTTCTCTCCCATTCTTTTTAAAGATTAAAGTGGTCAAATTTTCCTACATGTGGACCATCAATAACTTCAGCTTTTGTCGAGAGGAAATGGGCGAGGTCATCAAAAGTTCAACATTTTCATCAGGAGCTAATGATAAATTGAAATGGTAAGGACCAACTAAATGCCAGATAGGGAACAGCAGAAGGTTCAATTATTGTTACGTAGTTGTCAGAGTTATACCTTAGCTTCATATTCATTTATAGCCATTGCTGAATTTATTAATGTTCCCTTTCAGAGCTGTCGCCTGTAAAAATGCAACAATAAAACACTAGATTGATAAAGTTGGTTTTAAAACAGTTGAAGAAAGAAAGTACTGCTTTTACTATTGAGTTTTAGTTACATTTGTAAGTGTGGCTTAGCAATTTCCTATGATCAACTACAAGAAATCAAAATTTTATTGTTTAATAGTCTGCAGACTAAAATGTAAGAAGCATAATAAAACACTTTGTAATTCAGGATATTACGAATATTTTTGAAAAGAAAACAAACAATCTGTAGATAGAAAGTTGTTTCACTATAGTTAAACCTTTTTATAGAGAAAATGAACATGATTTTTCTGCTTTTGCAGGTGTTTGCGTGTGAACCCAAAGGGCTTGGATGAAGAAAGTAAAGATTATCTTTCACTCTATCTTTTACTGGTCAGTTGTCCAAAGAGCGAAGTCCGAGCCAAATTCAAGTTCTCTATTTTGAATGCAAAAGGAGAAGAAACAAAAGCAATGGGTATGGATAGCTAGTAACTGGGTACTTATATTTTACTCATACCTTAACAGAGCAGAAAATAAAGACTGTTTTGTGTGTCTTCAAATTTCATTTTCTGTCTGTCTATCTATCTATCTATCTATCTATCTATCTATCTATCTATCTATCTATCTATCTATCTATCTGTCTATCATTTAGTTTTTTTAAAAATGCCAACCTCTTTGTATATTGCCAGAGAGCCAGAGAGCCTATCGGTTTGTGCAAGGCAAAGATTGGGGATTCAAGAAGTTTATTAGAAGAGATTTTCTTCTGGATGAGGCAAACGGGCTCCTTCCAGATGACAAGCTCACTCTCTTCTGTGAGGTAAGATATAGAATCTCATGGTTTCATTTGGGAAGGTGTTCATAAAAATAGTTTTGTTGTCTCAGCTCCTATCATAAATCTAACTTTTCATCATAAAGTTGGCCTTTGGGGGTTGGAACTTCAAACATTTCCCTTGTGGCTGAAGGTTTGGATGGATCGATTCTTCTGGAGGAGTTGTTTCTTGAAATACCTAGGTGCCACACTATTATGGGCTTTACAGGTTATAACCAGCATTTAGAATTTGAATTTTGGAATCTGTTGGTAACCAAGTAATCCCTTACAAAACTGACATGATATGGCATGGTAGCTCTCATCCATTAGCTTGCTTGTTGCTGTGTTTTGTACCTGCTACAGCTTCCAGGTAGTGTTCAGATGTTAAAAAAAAAAAAAAAAGTCAAATCCTTGTCTTAAGCATTTTTTTACAGTTTAAAAATACAGATCTGATTCACAGACAGAAAAAACTTACATTGACTGATAGTTGTCGCTAAGGTGGATTTGGGCACGTAAGTAAGTATTACACCATACACTCAGCTAATTCCTTCCAGCTGGAGGCTCCCCAGCTGTTTAGGGGAAACATGTTTTTGTTTTGGTTGCTGCTCTACTAACTTGCTCTGAAGACTCAGTGATAAGACTTGGTGAAGGAAGAACTATGTGAATGCCCCAGTTTCCTTTAAACTACTTCTTGCTGGGAAAAGATTTGTCACGTTATTAAGCTTCTGTGGCGGACATATGATAGATTGTCCATTGGCTCAACCTCCTGCCTGATTGTAGAAGGCTATTTGTCTGCATTTACTTGATTTTTCTGTTTTATAGTATGGATCCCTTGTGCATGCAGAGGGATGTAGTTGCCATCTCAAAAAGAAAATCAGAATTAAACAAATCTTTTGTTTAATAAGTAGTAGGGATTGCTACATATGACTGCAGAGACTATTGGAGCAATCCAACTAAAATTACAGGATTTAAAATTCCATGGATTTTGATGATAGAAGTTTCAATACATATAAACTTTTATTTGGAATCACCATCCTCTCAGTGCTGACTTTTATCTAGATCAGTGGTTCTTAACCTTCCTAATGCCGCGACTCTTTAATACAGTTCCTCATGTTGTGGTGATCCCCAACCTCCCATCCAGCTGACCGGGGAGGAGGGGCAGGAAGGCCACTCCGCCAGCTCTGCCCAGCCTGGTTGGAAAAGCACCATTCCTCTCCCTCTTTCTCTCTTTCTCTCTCTCTTTTCTCTCTCTTTCTCTCCTTTCTCTTGCTCTTTCCTCTCTCCTTTCCTGTTTCTCTCTTTCCTCTATCTCTTCCTCTCTTTCCTCTCTTTCCTCTCTTCTCTCCCTCTTTCCTCTCTCTTCTCTCTCCCTCTTTCTTCTCTTTTTCTCTTTCCTCTCCCCCTCTCTCTTTCTCTCTTTCCTCTCTCTCTTTCTCTCTCTCTCTTTCCTCTCCTCTCTTTCTTTCTCTTTCCTCTCTATCTCTTTCCGCTCTTTCCTTTTTCTCTTTCTCTCTCTCTCTTTCTGTTTCCTCCCCCTTTCTCTTTCTCTCTTTTCTCTCTCTTTTCCTCTGTTTCTTTCTCTTACAGCAGCATCATTAGGGGTCCCCGCCACCCCCGGCCCAGCCTCTGCCATGTCCTCAGCCGAATGGGCGGGGAGGGGGAGCAGGACGGGAGGCAGCGGCGGTGGCACGGCAGCATCATCGGAGTTCCTCGCCGCCACCCCTGGCCCCACTGCTGCCCGCTGCATCCTCAGCCGAACAGGCGGGGAGGGGGAACAGGACAGGGGGCTGCAGCGGCGGCATGGTAGCATCATCAGGGGTTCCCCCCAGCCTGGCTGCTGCCCCCTCCAGAACGCCGCGCTGCCCGGCCTCGTCCTCCGTCCATCGATGTAGCTGCGGTGGGGGCTGGTGCCGCGTGGCCCCTGCCAGTCCGTCTGCTCCCCCCAGGCACCCCTCTTGCCCCGGCGCCCGTGCGAGCCGCCTTGGGGGCAGCAGGAAGAAGAAGGGGAGGAGGAAGAGGAAGAGGAGGGCAAGGAAGCCGCCACCAGCATTGGGCCCCAGGAGGCGGCTCTCCTCTCTTACATTTGCTGCATCTCCTTCTTCCTTCCTGGCAGCCTGGACTCCGGCGCGCCTTCCCGGCCAGCGGGTCCAATGGTCAGGCTGGCTGGGGATTGCAGGGGATGGTCTCCGTTGGGTTGTGGCTTGTGGGAGGGCTGCCCTGCTCAGCAGAGCCTCCAACGGGCCGCTCCCAGCAGGGATCCTGGGGCTTCCCCAGGCGGCTCCAAGGCCACGAGGCCCTGGCCGCGCTTCTCCCAGGAGGTGGGGCACCCGGGCGCAGGGCCAATCAGGAGCACTGCAGGAGATAAGTCAGAGAGAGAGAGAGAGAGAGAGAAAAGGAAAGCGAAAGTGCCTTTCTGTCTCTCTCTCTCTGCAAATGGCAGAGGAGGCCATGCGGAGACGGATGGGGAGCGGTGTCTCGGTTCCTAAGACCATCGGAAATATGTGTTTTCCAATGGTCTTAGGCGACACCTGTGAAAGGGTCATTCGACCCCCAAGGGGGTCGTGACCCACAGGTTGAGAACCGCTGGTCTAGATTTATATGAAAATAAAAACACTTAAGATAATTACACCACTGTGGTAGTCACAGAATATTTTGAGATATTGAAATTGAGATAATGAGAAAATGATATATTTAATTTAAAAAGCTTTAAAAATACATTTTCTATGAAGGTTTTCACATGCCATGAGAGTAAATTGTGCAGTAAATAAGTAAATTGTATTCTAAAGCACAAGTTTACTTTAAAGCAAACAAAAGTATTAATATAATGCTTTATTGTAGCGTTTCCCGAATATGTGGGATAGCATCTTCCAAAATTTCCAGAGTAACCAGGGCAGCTATCATGCTGTCTAAGAATTAGATACCAGGTTAGTAGCATATCTACAGTTTATGAAGATGGAGAAGAATGTTTTACACTGAATAAGATTTTTTTTTTCCAAGTCAAAACTTTTTCATTGATTTCTAAAAGCACTCTAACAACCTGCCCCACTCCTGGTTTACACAAGAAAAACTAAGCAGCCACTTTAAATAAACATAAACTGCTCCTTCAGTACTTTCCCTAATAATTACATTTCCCCAACTTCAACCAGTAAAGAAAAATAAAGGCTGATCTCAGAAACTTTGTTGGTCAGATCTGGTTTGCACTTGAAGGGGACCCATTCAGGGAATGCCAGTATAAGGAAAATGAAAGAGGATCCTGGAAGAATGCAGTGGTGAGCCATTTCCATATTTCTGTTAAGAATATATAGATTTGGTCCTAAAATCATGGGGGTGACTTGAATTTGGCTAACCATTTTAATTAAAATAATAAGAGAATGTTGGGATTGCCTTAGCAATGCCATCATGTGATTTGCATTTTAGAATTGCATTACTTAGTGACATAAATTCTGGTTCCAGTTGCGTTGCCAAAGGGGGTCCTTTTTCAATAACTTTCAGATCTAGTTTTGGGTATACTTTTGTAAAAAAAACCATATATCAGATTGATTTCAGATTTCTTCATAGTTATAAATTCACAGCTAATAATCACAATGGCACTTTCCTTTTCATACGTTCTGAACACTTCGGGCTGAGGAGTGGCAGTTGGAAAACAGTGTTTTCCCCTAGCTTTGAGTTTGTTCTTCCTACAGATCAACTATTCTGTAACATAATCTGCCAGAGTAGATGGATTTTTGATTTGATCAGAGATAGTATTTTTTTCTTTGTATATTAAAAAATGAATTAGCTTTTAATTTGTGAATCTGTGCACTGTTTAATTTCAGTCTTCCATTACTGGAGCCTGGGCTTTGTTCTTTCTTGGGGACCATCAGATAGTACGCCAGCTCAGAAAGGCACGGGACTAGTGATAAATATTAACTTGCTGCAGTCTGCTGACTATCGCTTGAGAAGCTGCTAATAGAGAAGAATTTAAAGATATGCATATCCACATCTAATCAATCATTTGGGAGATTTGGCCCAAACTAGCATAAAATTGAATTTTCATTTATCTGCATGTATGATAGTTTACCACTTAGATTCATACAACATTCTAAATCCAGGATTGCAGCAGAAATTTCTATATTCTCGGTATTCTCTACTCATGCAGACTATATTATGGCTTAAATTGAAAGGCTTCTTCACACAAATTGCTAAATAGGTAGATCCCCACAACACACTGAATCATAAATTACATGAACCCATTTTGCCTAACCTAGTGCATTATGTGAACCAATCCCCTATTCATTAGTGACCATTGGGAGTGGGGTATAGAAGACTTGATAGATCTTTTGTGGGAGAGGCAGAGAGGGATTATAGCAAACTGAATATATTGTTATAAAACCCTATAAAATAGGGTTGCTGTGGTGTCTGAGTTTTGCTCAATGTTGTACGAATGTGTATATTTCATATACTATCTTGAAGTGGTTGATAATCTCTCTTCATTTCAGTGTGGTGAACTTGCATATAGACAATGGTTCGGAGAATGGGTAGGAAAACTTCCTATGTTTGCTGGGTTCTCTTACAAAAAAGTCTGTATTGCTCTGGAATTTGTTTTTTTTTTTTATTCAGTTCTTCTAGATTTTTTGCTGCTATTATCAGTATGTTTATAAAGAGCATGGGCTTTTATGCTTCCTTGCAGGTGAGTGTAGTACAGGACTCTGTCAATATCTCCGGCCAGAATTCCATGAACATGGTGAAGGTACCTGAATGCCGCTTGGCTGATGAGTTGGGAGGCCTTTGGGAAAACTCTCGCTTCACAGACTGTTCCTTGTGTGTAGCAGGCCAGGAGTTTCAAGCTCACAAAGCCATATTAGCAGGTTGGTATTGACACAATTTGTTGTAGTGGTTAAGGCATCAGGCTAGAAACCATGAGAGTGTGAGTTCTAGTCCCACCTTGGGCAGAAAGCCAACTGGGTGACCTTGGCCCAGTCACTTTCTTAACTCTAAGTAGGAAGCAATGGCAAATCGCTTCTGAAAAACTTTGCCAAGAAAACTGCAGGGACTTGTCCAGCAGTCTCTGAGAATTGGATATAGTTGAACAGAAGAAAGGTCTAGCCCTTTGCGAGGCGGCTGTTGGCCACATGAAGCCTTCCAGGACTCGTAAAGAAACTACTTTTCGTGACCACAGGGTGAAAGCCTCATGTGTCCAGCACGTGTTTCGCAAAAGGCCAGGCCAGGCATGCTTGGTCAGCAGCAGGAGAAGGAAGGCAGCAAAGTCCAGCTGAGGATGGGAGAGTGCAGACTACAGGGAGCACGGAGTGCAGGGACTACAGATAGGAGGGAAGTAGGAGTTGGTGGGAGTTGAAGTGCCTCTATAGTCATAAGTGTGGGCAGGCTGCCAAGTACTCAGATTTTGATCATGTGATCACATATGCACTTCAGTTTTATGGACAGGCCATAAGTACCATTTGTTTAGTGCTTACATAACTTCAAACAATCATTAAATGAATGGTCATAAGCTGAAGACTACATGCATTTTAAATTCTTCTGAAATTTCACAGATCAAAAGATTAAGGTTTTGTCATTACTGGGGAAAGATTTCTAGGTTCTGTATAAAGTTTGTTCCTGTTGCTGCAAAATAAGAATGGATTTTGAAAGATGGGTGCTCCAGCTTGCATATTTTATATAGATTGCAGAATCCATCTCTATCTGGTACAGCAGGGGTCTATTTGGGCCTTTTTGGAATTGGACTGCATGAGTGGCTGGCTAGAGCATGGTGTGCACACGTGCAGCTCAACCTGCATGAGCAACAGGCCAATGGGCACTCATTCAACCTGCATGAGCAACAGGCCAGTGGGCACTCTCACATGTACATTGGCCCGCTGCTCACGCAGCTCAGTTCCCCTCTCCCCCCCCCAAACTGGGCTTTCAAGCCACAAAGGTCGGGGACCACTGGTACAGTATATATGGATGCTTATTGTGTTTGATTATTTCTTAATTTAGTACAAATCACACAAAGCCTTTATATTCTGTGGTGATAAGCACATAGCAACACAAAGCCATGGCAAAGGACCTCTAGTGTAAGAAGAAATGGAATTGAGAAAATCTGAAAATGTAATTAGCTGCATTCCAGAGTTTCTTTTATTTCTTTGCATAGGAGAGAATAAATTGCTGGGAAATCATATGCATATTCCCTTGGGCAGAAATTTTGATTTGATTCTCTTGCGAGTATACAATTTATTTTTTACTTGTCCCTTTTATACATTACTTGAATTTGCAAGTACTAATGGTATATATCAGTTCCTCTCTAAAAAGAAAGAGTATCTGTTTCACATTTTTAAAATGGTATTTTTTTCCCCATTTTTCCTTATGCCAATCCACCATGCATACAGCCCGTTCTCCAGTTTTCAGTGCAATGTTTGAACATGAGATGGAAGAGAGTAAAAAGGTAAGCCATGGAGAAGAGCTGCCCAGATAGGAAGATACTGTGGAGACAAACATTAGCTAATAACTGAAAACTATTGCAGACTTTTGACCTCAACCCACAAAGGTCCTGCTCAGACAATGAAATATAGTCTTGTTAATGTGTCAAGGTTGACGAGGCATTTTGCTCTGGGAACAGAGAAGAGATATGTATCTAGACTGCAGCTTAGATAGTTAGTTTTCTACAGTGGGTTGGCAAGAGATCCATCATTGCCCATGCAAACAAACTGTCAGTGTTATTCGGCAATTGATTTTAAGTTCTTTATTTCCAGCAATTAGATCTGAAGCACTCGATACTAATCTGAAATTGTAGTCTTGGTGAAACTGAATAGAGTCAGAGTCCAAATAAATACATAAATGTTTCGCCTTACTTGTTATATATAGGATATGGTAGAGGTAAGCACATTATAATTTATGGCTTATAAATTGAGAAAGGAAAAAATGTAAGTAATTCTTTAAAATAGCAACTAAATAAAATAACACACTGAAAATGTATTTTATTTATTTATTAAATTTATATGCTGCTCATCTCCCCTTCCAAAGTGACTTTGGGGGGAAAAAAACTGATCTTCTGCTTAGAACAGTGGTTTTCAACCTATGGGTCGCGACCCCTTTGGGAGTCAAACGACCCTTTCACAGGGGTCGCCTAAGACCATCGGCAAACACATATTTCCGATGGTCTTAGGAGCGGCAATTCCCAGGCGCTGGAGGAGGAAGAGGCGGGGGAGTCCACAGGGCCATGGCTGCGTCTCCTGTCCTCCCCGAGCAGCCCCTTCTCAGCGCTCCTCTCCTAAGAGGGAAATCCCACGGGGACCAAAGTGCTTGCTGCCTGGTAAGCCCGCCTGGGAAGTGCGTCCAAAGCGCAGGTTTGGAAGAAAGCAAAAGGAGCAAACAGTTTATTTTATTCCTGGCTGCCCTTCCAAAAAGGCGCTGCTGCTGCCCGAGACCTTGTTAGCGCTTCGGTGGCCCTTCCCCCCCCCCACCACCCCTTCCCCGGCCTTAGCTTTGTGCACTTTTTGGATTTGTTTGCTCCTACTTTTATAAAGTGGCTTCGTAGCAGGTCTCTCCAGAAGCAAAGCGTCAAGCCTTTCTCCTCCTCCTCTCCATTTTTTATTGTTGATTGCTCGCCGAGCAAGTCACCTTTTTCTTGGCATGTGCATCCGGGATGAAATGTCAGCACAGGGAGCTGAGCTAAAGAAATGCAATTCTTGTGGCTCAAGTCTTACTTTAGTTTTAGAAGCTTGGGGTGTGTGTGTTATATAAAAAAAAGGTGGATGCTGCGCGGTGACCTGCAGCCTCCTTCCCAGCCCCTCTCTTCTCCTCTCCCCCCCCCACCTCCCAGGGATTCAGGATCTTCTGAGAGTTGCCCATTAAACTTTCCCGGTTAAGGTTTTTTTTCCAGAGCATATTGACCTGGGACGATTGTTTGGTAAACCAAATGATTTGTGAAGCCTTTGCGTGTAGAAAGAAGCCGGATTCTTAATCCGGATTGGCATTTTGGTGACTCTTGCCAGGTGCTCTTGAATGCACTGTTGGTTTTCTTCAAAAGATTGTGCTGCTGTTTATCTTCTTGGTTCCTTCCCTGCATTGTTATTGTTCTTCATGGATGAAGTAGTACTTTTGGCCAAGATAGCAATCTTTGGGAGCTACTAAGAAAAGAATATGCACAGATGTCTCAGGGCTATCATTGGAACCATTGCAATAAATTAGTAATATAACTTGCATGAGGAGAAAGCATACGGCAGAAAAAAAAGGGCATTGTGTATAATTTATCACATTTTTATCCCACTTTTTTCTCTGGGAGATTAAAATGATGTATTTATTTGGTTCCCACAGCAACCTTGTGAAGTAGGCAGCCCCTCTGAGAGAGATTGGCCCAGGGTCACCATTGAGGTGGTTGGTCCAGAAACATAAAGTATGGACACTGTCCTCAAGTTATTCTGGAAAAGTGTGTCCATGTATTTATTAAATATATGTATTTAAATATATGATGATACTTGAAGACAGTATCTGTGTAGGAAAAACAATGGTTCAACTTCGGAAACAAATACCATGTTCCCTGCATATCAGATATTTACATTATGATTCATAATAGTAGCAAAATTACAGTTATGAGGTAGCAACGAAAATAATTTTATGCTTGGGGGTCACCACAACATGAGGAACTGTATTAAAGGGTTGCGGCATTAGGAAGGTTGAGAGCCACTGGCTTAGAATGATTCTATAACATTGCTAGTGATTTCTTTTATTACAGGTAGACTTGGAGGAAAAAACAGGCTAAGGAAGAAGTTATAGTTTGTCTTCTTACAGAGCTAGAAGGGACACATGAAACCTAAACTATGTTTGCATATAATTTACAGCAGGCCATATAAATACTGGCCCTTAAACCTTGGGTCTGGCACATAGAAACATTACAAAATTTGCCATCAGATTCATTTTTTTCAGTGATATAATGAGAAAAGTATTAAATATTTTTACACTCAGATTAACAAATGATCTGGATGACTTAGAATCTCCATAGACCGCTCAAATTAACAGTTATTTTGACTTTTAATAAGATATAAATAAAAATCAAATTTAACCTGTTTTCTTAACCTTAACTTATCTTTTTGAAGAACAATCCTTGTCATTCACCTAAAGTCAGGTGCAGCCATCACCCTGAAAGGTTTGAGAAGCCAAGAGTCACTAAATAAGATGAGAAGCAATATAAATACAAATAAACAGGTTTGCACCCCTGTTTACAGCGAGTTATTCCTGCTGAAAGAGAGATTAGGCTAGGAAAGGTTTCTGTTGCCTCAAAAGAATAATCTTCCTCTTTTCTCTGGTGCAGAATCGAGTAGAAATCAATGATGTGGAACCTGAAGTTTTTAAAGAAATGATGTGCTTCATTTATACCGGGAAGGCACCTAATCTTGACAAAATGGCTGACGATCTGCTTGCAGCTGCTGACAAGGTAAAAGGGAAGGTTAGCTATTACCTTGTAGAAAAATAAAAATTGGGAGAGGTATCTTTTGGAACCCCAATATTAGAAGCTGAGCCCTATAGAAGTAGAAAGTAGCAAACCCATAAGTCTATTGTTAGAGAGGATAGCATAGGCAGAGGAGACCTGTCAGGATGAAAAACATAACAAATTTCCATCGCAGCACATTCTAACCCCAAATCATGTACTAGTTTGCAACCACTTACCATTGTTTTACATATCTTAATATTCTGATAAGATTAAATTGGTGGATATCGGTGAAACCAAGTTATATTTTTCTTTCTTGATACATATTTCAGTGAATAACTTAAAATAGTTCTGATCAAATTCCACGTTGGCCATCTGTCTCCAATCTAATATTCTCCCTGAATTTCCAGGTTCTATACTTAATTGTATCCCAGCATATCAGGAAGTAGCTAGGCTGCAGGTATGGTGCTAGAAGCAGAAACATGATGGGGACATAGCTAAGAAGGATGCGTTTCCAGAAACATGAATTATTTGTCTAGCTTTTATCCAGTAAACAGTAAAAAAAAAAAAAACACCTTGAGATCTAAGCCATATTTTTAAGGGAAGAAAGTACACATGAATTTTAAATAGAATATGGCACTTGAGGTGTTAAGTAAAAAAAAGTCCCTTAAAATTTGAAATATTCTTTGTCTTTTACATAGAACATCTTTTCCCACCATTCATCCATTTGTACTTACACAGCAAAAACCTACCTTGATTTTCCAGCACGGCTGAGTAATAAATACGTTTAACACCCACTTAGCTTTAGCAACACTTACTTAACCCCAGTAAAGAGGGGGTACTGAGGTGGGCTTTAATTGTTGAAGAGGATTTGTGACTTTTTATATAGTTCCTTTTTCTAAACATCTCTGGGTGTCTTTTTAAAAACAGAAAGCAAAACCTTTTATGGCAGCACATAAAACCTCTTAATACTTGCCCAAGAGGTTAAGGAACAATTTGTTCTGTCTTCCTCCAATCTCTTGGGAAAATTACGTAATTATTCTATAAACAAAATGTAATGCCTATTTGAAACCGCAGAGACCTGCCATTGGGCTCTTGGGTGAAGATGTGATTAGAGAGTTCAATTTGTCTTTCCAATGTTTATGAGGAGAAAGGGAAGACATGCTGAGATGCTGTGGTACCTAAAGAACTAATATAGGTTCACATGCAAGCATGCATATTCCCTGTGCTCAGATCTTCAAAGTTCAGCAGAGAAAATAAATTCTGCAAATTAGTTCCTGTTTTTAATTTGTTGGCATTTATTAAGCAATAGGATTTCTCATTCTTTGTGAAGAACATTGACTGATACCCAGCATCCATGTATGATTGTGCATGTGTTAGTTCTTAAAGATTCCTATTATATAATGTGGGATGGGATTAGATCCAAAATGGATGTTTACTGAGGTCCCATTTAAATCCACAGATACTTACACTAGTTATATTGTAAGCATGATTATCCAACTCACTATGCTTTGTGGGGCTGTGTTCTGATGTTTCATGTTACCAGAAAGTTATGAAGAACTTGACATGCGTTTTTAAATAGTCCAATTTTCTGGTATCTTTTATAGTATGCTTTGGAACGTTTGAAAGTGATGTGTGAGGATGCTTTGTGCAGCAATTTGTCAGTGGAGAATGCAGCAGAGATCCTAATTCTGGCTGATCTACACAGTGCTGACCAGCTAAAAACTCAGGCAGTTGACTTCATAAACTAGTAAGTGGGCTTTCTTTTTTGTCTCTAGTGAATTAAATCTAGCAGGGACAATCTTCAAAGCAATGTTTGGCATTTTACTTAAGTTAGGATCGGCGGAGCAATGGCTCAGCGGTTATGACACTGGGCTTGTCAGCTGGAAAACTGCTAGCTTGGGTTCAGAACCCAAGCGCCGCATGATGGGGTGAGCTCCCGTTCTCGTCCTAGCTCCATCCAACCTAGCAGTTCGAAAGCATGTAAATGCGAGTAGATAAATAGGTACCGCTTCGGTGAGAAAGGTTACTGCGTTACCTACTTTCATGCAGGCCACATGATGACGGAAGTGCAGGCTGCCTCGGCTGAGTATCAGAGATGAGCACCGCCCCCTTGAGTCAATCACGACTGGTTAGGGGAAACCTTTAAGCTTTTTTTAAAAGTTAGGATATCTTTCCAGAGTCTGCACCCCTAGAGTACCTTAGAATTCTCTTGTTTTTCTCAGCATAGCAGAGTTGATTGCGGATGATGAAATTTGCATTCAGATCCTCTGCAGGATACCAGGGAAAAGGGTTGTGTCTAAGAGTAGCTAAAAGTTCTCTGTCAAGATTGTTCTTACCCTAAAATGTTGTCATCCACTCTGGAGAGATGAAAAATAGCCAGCAGCTGTTCAAATGGTTGTTCTTCTCTTGAATAAATAAATTCTTACTACAGCATTCCTCAAGATGGTTCTGTCCAGTTGTGTTAGAGCTGCAGCTTTCAGGATTTATCACCCAACAGCTTTACTGCACATATAGATGGAGCTGCTTTTTGGAAAGGGAAGTTTACTCAACTGTTTTTGCCAAGAAAGTTGATAGCTTCAGTAATACTAATTCTCCTTTATCCCATTTACCTGGGATTATTTGTCTTTTTGGTTTACCTTGTTTTATTGTATGCCAGAGTCACAAATTTTGAGTTGATGGCCATAAAAATGTAATAAATAAATAAATATGCCTCAAAATAGTCCTGCAGGAATAGAGACATCTTTATTAAAGAATAATGTCCAAAGGTGCATAGTGAAAAATACAATTTCTTGTGTCGAGAGACATTTTCAGATAGATAATATTTAGCTGAGATATAGTTGATTTTCATTAACATTTTTCAATCTGGTAATCTTGAATTCTTGATTATTATTTTCAGCCATGCTTCTGATGTCATGGAGACTGCAGGCTGGAAGTCGATGGTAGTATCTCACCCTCATTTGGTAGCAGAGGCATATCGTTCACTGGCCTCTGCACAGTGCCCCTTTCTGGGACCCCCACGCACACGGCTGAAGCAATCCTAAGGCTGGGTCCCCCACTGCACAACACTCTGTCTGTTTTTTTCGTAAAAAAAAATTGAAGTAGCAACAGAAGCAGTTGCTTCTCCAAACTTGACCACCAGGTAGATGATGCAACCCGTGGAGCTTTTTACTTTGTTTTGGGTGGGTCAGGGTGGGTTGGGAGGAAGAGTGTTTTGGGACATGCAGACTTCTAAAAACAGTAGCAAGTCAACTTTGGGGCAAATAGGGGAGGGATATGCTTTGGGTAAAGGGGACTATTCAACCTTCTGTTGCTGCATTTTCTGTGTATATTCCTTTGAATGGTTGAGTCAAGAACTTAAAAGTTGACCAGGCATACAATTCCACAATCTTTAATGGAATTTAAAGTGAAAAAACCAAGAGGCTTCTTCATCTGACAGCACAGAAGAAATTGGCATGCTTGGAGCAAAGAAGACATTTTCCTTTGTTTGGGAAATCAACTGGGAAATGGGGGAAATGAGTTAGCCATGGCAAACCAAATCCCTTGAAAGGAAGCATCAGTGAAACATTTTTGAAACAAGGACAGACCTTCCAACCCTACTGAGATTTCTGCATTTACCGTCCAACCGTGATGAGACGATTGCTGTGTCTTGTACATGAATTGGGATGGGGAAAAAAGAAGCAAATGAATAAATCTTGTCAAAATGACAGCTTCTTAAAAGTTCTGATGGAGGGACTGTTCCAGGATACACTTTCTGGAAGACAGGGGTAGGATGGAAACAGCCATTATCAGCTTTCAGGAACGATTGGAGTTCCTCTTCACTTGGAATGGAATATCCAAGAACAATGGTTAATTGTTTAGATATTGTGGGAGTTTTGTTCTCTTTTCCTTGCTTCATTTTTTTTGTTCTCAACTCCTGTGATTCCTTCTCCAAGCCCAATTTTTTTTGTTTTGTTTTTAAAGAAATTTAATTGTTCATGAATACTCGTGTCAAAAGTTTCTTGTTCTGAGTTGCTAAAAATAAGTGTTTGTATTCATCTACTGGTTTGTAGAAATTTTGGTCCTGTTTCATTTTAAGCCCATTTTCTGTTACAGGTAAAATGTTCCAAAATTGTGGTAAAGCTCTTTTTCTCCTTTTGAGTTTTTTTTCGAGGAGGGGAAAGCGGGGGGGGGGAGAGGATAATTACTCTTTTGTACTGTGTGTTGCTATGTCTTGTTTTCATGGGTTTCCTTTTATTTTTTTAAAAAACAACATTTTCTCCCAAGTTCAGATTTAGTTTTATGTGTCTGTTTTATTGATGCAAATATTGAACCCAGGGATGATAGTAGCAGATGCTAAGGCATTGGTTTAATACTTTGGTAAGATCTTGCTCTGAGAGTTGTCCTCTCCAGGGTCATGAAGGCTGGTATTAGTTCTACAGTATTTTTTTGTCTTTTTGTCTTTTTCCTTTTCTACAAAGGAAATTGGCTGAAGAGATAAGTACCTGAATCTCTCAGCTTATTGGATAACTACATATTACTTGGGACAGATGGAGTCTGTCCAATGTGATCCTCATTTTATCTCTAAGCCTGAGAAAAAAATCCCTAAAGAAAAGCAGAAAGATAATATGGTATGGAGGAACATTCCCCCCATTTAATTACTATAACAATTTACTCTGCTGATAAGTATAAGATTTGCATTTTAGACAATGGTAGTTCAGTTGATGCATTGCTTTTTTGGACATGTCCTCAAAATCCTTTGCCTAATGTTGCTTTGCCTCACTAGAGCAATGAAGTAAAGGTAAAATATCCCTCCAATATAGAGATGGTTTCTGGGAGATTTTTTTTTTTTCAGTCTAGTGCACAATCTTTGGCTTTGTGATGGTCAACCATGCAAATACTGACCAGATTTAATCTACCTAGCTTTTCAGTCAGATACTGCTACCTAGTTGGCACAGCAGTGAGGAGTAACCTGGACAGAACTTTTAAAGTTTTTCCTTTTTTAGGGCCTCATTTATTTTTCCCATTTGATGTCCCAGCTCACCAACTTCAGTTTTCAGTCTTCCTTTTCAACCCGATTAAACTTTTTATAGCTTGTGAACAATCTTTGCTTTCACTAGACTCTCTAATAAGTCTTTTGGTCCGAAATAATCTTTCTACAAGATATTTTGTACAAAATTTTGAATTTCCCTTTTTATTTTACCAGTGGCTTTGTTTTAAGTTTTAAGTCTTCCCTTGACTTTGCTTTTAGAAAATGTTTATTTCCTTTGAGAAGCTGTGGTTGCCTTATAAAATGGAGTAGGGGGTAACGCTAGTGAAAGTGGAGCCCATCTTTAGACATCTTTAGGTTCAGATAAATGGGACAGTCCTTCAGGTAGAACTGTTTCAATTTTAAGCTGCCTTAATAGAGAACTGTGCCAGTTAATGGTCCTATATCTGGCAGAAGTTTTCCAGAAGGAGAAAACAGGACTGTTAATCATGAAGCAGAGCAAGCCAGAAAGGAAGTTAATGAACAAGTGATTTGTATACTAACAAGCAGAGAAAGGAAATTCTCGAGTCAGAAAATATCAAGAAAGAAGAGCAGTTTGAGCTTAACTTAGAATGGAACTGGTAGCCCATGCCGGAAACAGGAGTGAACTTAATCATCCTTATTATCCATAGTTCTATACTGTTTACATCCTTATTATCCATAGTTCTATACTGTTTATTCTTTCTCAACAAAAAAATTGATTCAAAAATGACACATATGTGGTGGTGACTCAGGTGGGGATTTTCAACTTCCTCTGCACAACATTAAAAAAAGATGCCTAAAGTAATTGTCACATGTATGACAGGCTGATCAACACACTCTCAGCAAAAATGCCTTTTAAAAACTGACTTTAATAGCTAAAATATTATTTTTACTGGCATCTTTCTAAATAGAATTAACCTTGTTAGCATTCTAAGGAATCGTTAATAGCTTCTGTGTGTTGTGAGACTGAGCCCTCCCTCCCATGTTGATTAGAGCTGAAAGGAATTGAAGTACAGCAGCTTATGGAGAGGAGGGCCACTTGTGGAGGACAGATTGTGTATCTTTGGCTAACATTTTAGACTGCAACTATGGATCTTCCATTCTAAGAGACAGATTAACATGGAATCATTGACCTTGGAGAAAAAAAGGAAACTTTAAATTTGCTTGAAGCTATTAGGCTTACACTATTTGTGTTCATCAAAATTCCAGTAAACCCAATTTCCGTGCTTAAGCAGCATTTTGAATAAGAAAGTAAGATCACATCTGCTTCTCTAGGTATGAATAAAAGAGTTGCTGTAATTACTTCAAAAAAAGAAGCTGGGTTGTTTACCAAAAGGTTTGCTGTTACTTGACAAAGATTTCATCCCCATTGGATTTGCAAGAGCAGCTATAACTGCTCAGGGAGTCTCTTGCCTCAGCTTCTACTTGGAAGATGCAGACATTCTTGCAAGAAGTTAAACGGACTTTGACATCACCAGCCTTGCCTTCTCTTCAGGGAGGCATTTGACTGGAAAGTGAGGCTGGTTTTGGCAATCACCTTCCTGGGGGAGCGATAGGCTCCGGGGCAAGAAAGGCAACCTCTTTGGGGACCTGTGTGGCCTTTTCGTTCCCAGAGGAAAGAAGATCGAGAATGCGCATCCTCAGTAGCTTAGGAGACTTCTACCAAGCAAGGAAGGGAAATCTTATTTCTGTGACTTCAAGGGAAGAGACACAATCGAGGGAGTGATTGAGCTCACCGCAGTTCATTTAATAGAGGTGTAGGATCCTGGGATAATAGAAGTATAATTAGTATAGGAAATAGCTAAAAACATATTTTTGAATCCATATTTGTTTCTCTAACATGTCCATTTCTCAATTTAAAAAAGCTAAGATAATTTTAGGCAAAGATTTGATGACAATTCAAAACAGGAGGGAGGAATTCTACCAAACATGTTCACCAATTCATTAATGCCACTTACTTCTGTTCTGGCAGGAGCTTATTGTCTATAAAGAAAGAGTGTAAATGGATAAAATCAGGGAAAGGGAAAAATATAATGATAGGCTTCCAAGCTTATTTTCCCATATCCAAAAAATGCCCTATGTCATAAAGTGCTCAAATTGCAAGCCAGAATAATGTGTTGGTTTTCTCAGTTCTGCTGTAGCCTAACTGTAGTAGCCTTTTGTCCTATCCATTATGACTATTTCTCATACTTAGAAAATTGTCATATTCATAAAATTAATAACAAAATAGGAAGTAAAGCAATGAAAGCTTAAGTCTGATGCTATTTTAGCTCTCTCATGCTGATTCTTTGCTCTGTTCTGAACTCCATCTTTTCTGTTAATTCACAGCATGAGATGTTTCTGTGTTCTAACCAGAAATAAGACTTGATGGGGTGCATTGTGCAAATACCAGGAGAAAATTCATGTAGCAACAAACACTGAATTGGAGGAGGCATCATTTAGAGTTACATTTTTAGTAAACAAAATAAGCAACAAAGCTGTGTCCTAATTAATAATCCCAAGTCAATCACAATAAAACAATAATCTGGTAGAATATTCCTTATGAAATAGAATGTTTCTTATGAATGCTGTACTTTGGATGCTAAGATTATAACACACAATGAAGACAAAAGCACAATCTCAGGAGAGGGAGGAAGGTCCAATCAGAGCAATCTGACAATAGAGCCAATTAGGAGATGGTACTCATTTTCAAGCAGAGAGTGGTCATCATCTGTTATTAATGCTGGATAGAGAATGAGATTCTGTGATCTAAATGGCTTATTCCAGCTATATGTTTCTGAGGGAACATACAGAAAAATAAGAGTTGAAATTGCTTACTACTCAAGTGGCACATAAAAAGATTACTACTGATGAAGATACACTATTTCAGAGTGTGTTTAGGCTTTTGAGATGTTCCATTTTGCTTGGACCTTTACCACAGGGAAAGTCTTGCTTGTTTTTTGCTTATTGTAAAATTACGGGAACCTGATATGCATTGTTCTCTTCGAATGCTTCCCCCCCCCCCAGAACTGTCAGAACTCTAGCTGTTGAAGAATAAACTTAAATATTAAGAGATATTCAACATTTTTAAGGAGTGCAAATAATATTTTAAGCATTGCAGAGACTAGTACACCTGTTCTATAAAACCCCAAACAAAATGGCAAAAACTGGACTGGTTTTTCTAAAAGATGTTCCAGATTTAAGGCACCTGTTAACAACTCTCAAAACATGGGGAAAAAAACATAGAAAATAATGAACAGGATGTTGGAGGCTAAGAATTGTCCAGAGTTATGCCATCATACCATCGGAACAAGAGCATAATTTATATTTATATATGATTGTGCTTATATTTGATATATAAAATGCCCTGGTGTTCTTAGATTTGTTGTTTATACTACAACTGTTATTAGGAAAGAAATATAAAATCACTCACTCAAGGTTGACAGTAGCTTTAATATTGACCAAAGTGCACCAAATCAGTATCACCCAGACTTCAGTAAAAATAACATAATTGGAACTTTTCCAAGAAGCTTAATCATGTTTATAACCATTTTTAAAGTTGTATTTTTTAAGGATCGAATGTTACTCATTTTAGCTATGAACAGATCATGGGATACTAAGAATTTATTGTGGCTCTGTGGCTCAATTCTAGTATCAGATGAAGATGTATTTTCATAGAGTGAAAGGACAAATTTTGAGAAGTTGTATACTATATTACTATTATGGCAGATGTTTTAGGTCTTAAGTATTAAAATACATAGATATGCTATTGGGAAATGATATGAAGATATGACTTAGATCACATTCTATATATTTATTTATACTCCGTTTCTATTCAATCCATAATCAAACTTCCCTAAATGATATGGATAATATCAAAAAGCAACTCAAGAATATACAAATAACCAAAAGCAAAATAAATATACCAAAACAGTAAGATGTCTCAATCAGTGCAAACTGGCATTACACTTGTGCAGCATTAAAGCCTTTTATTAGATCCTTGACAAATAAAAATCTCTGGGATCAAAGTCTTTGGGGTAAAAAAACTAGAGTGTTGTCTACAGAGAAAGGTAAGGCCCTCTTGTATTTCAGTTGGTAAGGTCATCTGGAAGATGGCATTTGATGATTTTGAACTTAGAAACATGTAGTTAT